TTACATACAAAGTTGCAAAACATTTCGTGGGTTTGGCTTGGAATCCTCTGTTATGAACTTATGCTTATGAAATTATATAAACTTTTTTTAATAATTATTATATCAAAAAAAATTGTTAGGCTTGATAAAATTATTGTTAAAAAGTTGATATTTTGGTGCAATTGTATATATTTCTTCGTAATTGGCGGATTGGATCCGCCCTCTTGTATTGGCGGATAAGACTTAAAACATTTAACCCTAGCCATGGAATTTTTTTACTTGAAGAAAGAAATATATCTTGGCTAACAATTTGCAATATCTTATCCAAAATACGGTTAGAATGGTATTGTTTCAATGTTATTGTGCTGTGTTTCAATGAAACAGTTTTATCTTTATTAAGAAATATTATTTTCACAAAATTATAGATTTTTACTTTTTCCCAAAAAGAATGTACATACAATTGTTCTCAGATAAAATTTTGCCCTTAATAGATTTTTTACTTTTACCTCAAACATAATTCTTTTTTTTTTAGTTTAAGGGGGTGTTATTGAATCATTGATTTAAAATCCATGATTGAATAATAGAGAAACAACTAGGGATTAACAAAATACATTTACTAACCTTTATTCTCTTTGTTCCTAATTGATTGATGTTCTAACATTTTTAATTTGTTCCACAAACATTGATTTTTTTACTTTTTTTTTTTCTTTTTAGTCTTATTGATTCATATTATAAATCGTAAACTCAAGACTCAATGATTAAATTTATCAAATTACTATTGGTTCGTTCATAGTTATTGAAAAATATCTATATTATTAATTGGGAATCACTCAAAACTAACAAACTTTATTTTGGTAGATTAATTACAATGAATGCCATTAGAATTATTGAATTTAAAAAACAAAAGAAAAAATTCTAATATATATATATTTTGTTGAGCATTTTTCTTTTGGTCAAAAATATATATTCAAATAGTATATATATTTATTTCGTTGGAGCAATAACAATATATATTCAAAAAGATGTTTTTATCTTTTCTATCCAAAACTTAAACAAATTAAATTTACTGTTATGATTTAATAAGGTTTCCATAGCAATTGACAATAATAAATTCAAAATAATAAAAAGGAAAATACAACTGTTTACGATTAAATCAAATCTTAAATATTAAGAAAATAAAAAAAATATGGATAACTTCCACTAATTATGTAAAAGTTAAATACCTAAACGAAAATACATAAAATACGGGTATTCCATCCGAATCCTAGACCTACACGATATAAAATCACAAACGAGTAAATTAACGCTTATGTGATTAAATGTGTGTGGTAGATATGTGACCATACGGATTTTCTGTCTCAAAATTGATATGTCTATTTTTTTTTCTCTCTTTTTTATTATGTAATTGTCTTTACTGTAACCAAAACAAATCCGATTAATTATTTTGTCTAAACTAAATTGAAACAAAACTGAATACCAAACTGATATGAGATAGGATAATGAATGTTATACCAAATAAATACATCTACAAACATAACCCCGCACGAACGTGCGGGTCCGAATCTAGTTTGATATAAAAAATAATACTGTAATGATTAATCCTGTCTAAACAAAAAGATAAGTCGATACAAAAATTAGAGTTTTCGAGGATCAAAGATAAGAGAATATGTCTCTTAGATTTCTGTTTGCGCACACAACCATGGGAGTCTCTTATGATCCTCACTTGGAAGACGGACTACGGCATTACTCTTACTCCCTTAAGAATTTACCACATTATGTGGATGTTAAGTTAAGTATACATTTACATAGTTCATATGTAGTTAACTTACACATTGAGAATTAAGTTCATTTTACATATAGAGTCATCTATATTTTACTAAACATTAACTTTACATCGACATGGTTGTTATAGAAATAGTTAACTACTTACACAAAATAGTTACTTCATTTCCTTGTTCTCCTAATTTTCATTTTCAATCAAACTCAGTTGTTGTTGTTATGAGTTTAAGATCTTGTTTAGTATTACAGACACAACTCAGAAGTATTATTTGCCCTATATCATAAACAGAACAAAATAAACAAACTTTTTCAGAGAACAAGGTATTAATAGTTGAGCAACAACATAATTATTCTAGAAACTTAGACAAACAGTTTTATGTAGTATTGGATTGCTACAAATGTTTACTGATAAAAATACAGCTCTATGCTAACAATGTCTGATGAGAAGAAGATTAACATCAAATTCTTCAAAGCAAATGATTAACATTTGTTTCTCCTTGTATATTCTCTCATCAACCAATAAAAATCCCTGGCCCTGACCATGGAGATTCTCCATTTCCTAAGTTCTTTTATTCAAATATTCCAAGAAACAAGAAAATAAAAAGAACTCTACTGTTATAGGCTGCTATATACTATGGCTGATTTAGGACCAGTCTTGTGTCTGTGGATACTTTTTTCCCTCAAATGGGAATAGCTCTTATGGGATTCCTGGTGATAATATATATGCCATTTCCTTCTTTTGCGTAAAGTTTGTCCGAATCCAATTTTGTAAAGGGATCATTCTTTTGTTGATACTAATATCTCACCACTAGCTTCAAAATCCTTGTAAAACATATTGAGCTACAGAAACTTCCATTATAGTGTGATTACTTCAGGTTCGGGTTCTTCTCCAAGTTGCGCAAAAGGAGCAAACCACTAGGAGAGGAATCAGAATACTTAGTTTTTGTTTCTTGCTAGATTTGGGGATAAGGGTTCCAAAATATCAACATAAATTTTGTAACAAATTAAAAAAGCTTACTCTTTACCTTCCTTTTCATACAGATTCCTTGTAAGCTACTCCTGGTAAATTCTCAGCAATGATCACTGGAGCTAGAATCAAGACCTGCAGATATTGGAATAAATCCTCAAGCCTTTACTGATGTAATAGTGAAAAATTAAAAATAAGCCTTGCTCAAAAACAAGCAAGTGACCTTATGAACTCAAGATTATTATTTCCACAACTAAAGAACCTAAATGTGGGGAAAATGTTTCATTTTTACCATTTTAATACCTAGGCAAAGAGGGTCGCTGTGAAGAATCGTGACGATGAGAATATCAGTAGTGCAATGCCTACTAGCAGAATTTCTTAGCAACTTGCAATCTATTATCTCTCTGGAATATATTGTGCCCCAAGGCCTCATTATTATTAAGATTCTTTCTCTGTTTAAAGTTTTCCTTCTCGATAAGAAGTTTCGCCCCTAACCAAACCACGACATCTTAGAAACAGAACCATCCATATCATAACTAGAATAAAAATATCTAGATCTTGAGATAATTTGGATCACAGAAACGAAAATATCTTTATATAAGTGCTTATATTGGCATATATCCAGAAATAGAGCAAATTAAAGTATCATAAGACCTCTACACGTAAGGGAATATCATCTTAATTACTTTGCAAAGCTAATAACATATTTAGTGAATGGATAAACACTATAATCAAGAAAGATCCAAGAAGTATAATTCTTAAATAGCTTTACTTTAAAAAAAAATGTGTAGACAATAACTTTATATAGTCTTGGGGTCTTCTGATAACTAACCTGATTCAATAGTGATAAGATATGATGAGTATGGTCGTCCATCTCCCATGGAACTTTGAATCACCTGTGTTTCCGAGAGAGGAAAATCTTGAGACTTTAAATCCATATTTCAACTTTATTATGAGCTAAAAATCAAACAACAAGTGGATCATTAATGAACAACCTTTGTTGCAAGAAAAGAAAATCTTCAAATCTTTAAAGAATGACATAACTATGAAACAAAATGCTCACTTTCAGAGTTAAAAACCAAACAACAAGTGGATCATTGATGCATGTTGTCTTTTTGCCAAGTATGTGTATTGTGCATTATTTGGTGTGATCTTTTTAGCAACCTAATTTAGTTAAAGGACAATAATCTATTTGCCCATCCCAACCCTGGATTCTTACCAAACAAGGTAATTAATTGTTCTTGTGAAACATTAGTGTTTATAATACGACAACAAAACATTATTATATGTAAAAATTTTGGTTCCTGCCCATATCAATAATGCAGACACCAAAGAACAGAAAAAACAATTTGAATATGCACCAAGAAAAGTGATTATTTAACAAATTAACAACCAAGAATCCACATTAGACAATATATGACCAAGAAAAACACATTTGCCTAACTTCAAGGAGATGGACCCAACAAGGCAAGGAAAAAAAAGGTAGGTAAACAATGTTGACCTTTTTTTTCAACAACAAAACACACAAAAATGTTGATGATTGTACGGAAAGATCTATACAGCTAAATAACTTGATATGATGTCCATGGCAGAGAATCTCAAGGTAAAGCTCTGCCCCCACTTTCCTTTTAAGAATTCTTCTTATACAAGAGAATATATGACTTATGGTGAACACAAGAAAAGCTCCAACTTTGTGTTTGTGGATACAAATTAATCTTCACAATGTTTCAAATCACTGAGATTTTTGATAAGAAGGAAATCTGAATAGTCAATGAAAATCATCTGTCAATAGAGACTTGTCCCTAACTTTAATCCAAAGACTTGTAATTTTCCTCGTCTCGCGAGAGCACGTGAGCTTTGTGCTGTGATTAGAGACCAGACTGTTCCATGACTTAAGTACCATAGGTAGAGAGATTTTCCTAACTATTTATTACCTAAACTGCTTCTTTTTGACAACAAGCTTAATCTAGAGAATGACGTCATAACCACTAATTGGGAAAGAAAGTAAACATATTAGTTATAACATTTATAGAAAAGTGTCTATAGCCTATAGGGAGCATCATATGCCAAATATGGATAGAAAAACGCAATCTTTGGTTGATTAGTATGGATCTTTGATACTGATCTCCACAAAAAATTTGCTCATATTCGTTTCTAGCTATAGAGACAAAGACTTAAAATTCTCTTTGTTTTGGCAAAGATATCTTTAACAACTGGGCCTACCTCACACCAAAACCTCTTTATAAAGAGCAAGGACTCTCCGACATCTGTGCAACATATCATTTCCTCAGAATCTCTTTCTTATTATAACACAAAACCAAACATCAACTTTAGTTACTAAAACAATGGCATCAGGCTCAATGTCTTCTTATGGCTCTGGCTCATGGACTGTTAAGCAGAACAAAGCCTTTGAGCGTGCTCTAGCAGTCTATGACCAAGACACTCCTGACCGTTGGCACAATATTGCTAGAGCTGTTGGTGGTAAAACACCCGAAGAAGCTAAGAGACAATATGACCTTCTCGTGCGTGACATCGAAAGCATCGAGAATGGTCACGTGCCGTTCCCTGACTACAAGACTACTACTGGAAGCAGCAACAGAGGCAGGCTGCGTGATGAGGAAAAGAGGTAATAAGACACATTTTATGCTAATAACAAACTAAATCAACTTTGTTTATCCATAATAGCCCACTATTAAGATACTTCTATTCCTATACCATGACAAGAAAACATAAAAAAGGGCATGTCTGTTTCAGCATAAAGCTTGTTACTTTACAAAGATTCTCTTATATTTAAGTTATGAAAGGCTCTAAATCATCCAAGTGTTCTCTTCTCAGTGTTCTTGAGGCTTTATCACAACACAAACTAAAAGCTCCCATATAAAAAAAATATGCCTAGAAATAGAATTATTCCTTGTCAATATTAATTGATTCCCAAATCTTTCACCAAGAAACTTCCAGAAACAAAACTAAACCTATGAAACTCGAACCAACAAGATTTTTAAACATTTTTTTTTGTTTCAGGATGAGAAGCATGAAGCTGCAGTGAAACAAGAAGGAACCAAAAAAAAAAACCTAACTACGTAAGATCGTCAAGAAAATAAAAGAGAATCACTTCAGAGAGATGTGTTTTTTTCAATGTCTGACGAATCAATGTTTTTTTTCTTGCAATTTCTCATGTTTTCCCTAAGAATTGGTTTTTTTTTTTCGAGGCAAAACAAAATAAAAAGCACTCGAATTTGTTAACCAAAATCTGTATTTAGGGTTCTTCGTAATGAAAAATCCATTGTCTAAAATCAAAATTAAAATGTTGATTATATATTACTATTAAGCTTTAACGAATTAATCTCAACCAATCTGAATCAATGTTGCTTCAAAATAGAAAAATCCAAAGTGAAAAATCAATTAAATAAAATGGAGAATCCAATAATGGAAAAAGTAAATGCGAATCGGACAAGAAGAAGTCTCGAAATCAACGAATCAATTAACCAATCTCTATTTTTAGGGTTCTTCGAAATTTGGGAAAAAAAAAAATCAAATTATTCAACTTTGAATGTTGATAATTGGTGAATCACTGTTTATTGAGAATCTAATCATGTCACGGGAAGATAAGAACTCACCTCGAAAAATCTGCAATTTCTGATCGCAATCTTCAAATTCCAGCGAAAATCAAATAGAGTTTTAAAAAATTTGGGAATTTTATAGAAAACCCCCAAATTTTCAATTCAACAGTTTTTGGTATAGAGAGAAAAAAAAAAAAAAAAATTAGGCGGGAAATCTGATGCTTCAAAAAGTAGGTCACGTGCAATTAATTAATTATATACCACAGATACACGTACGGATACTAATTTGTGCCCATGTACGGTATACGAATACATGCACTTTCTTTTCTTTCTTTTTTCTTTTTTCTTTTTTAGAATAGAGTCATAATGTATGTCCCTCAATAACTTCCTTTTTTTCATTAATACTACTAACCAAAACGAATAAGGTCCAAACGATGTTGGAGAAATCTGGAGCTAATTCTATAACGAACCCAATGCCAAATGAGATCAGTAGAATATGATTTATAAGATGAAGGATGGTTCGGTTCAGCGTTTATGAATATCGTCGAGCATCGCAGTCTTTTCGGAATAAAACCAATGATATGTAACTTCGGATTTTATGTTAAAATTAATAGAGCCTTTCTAGTAATCTCATGCTTTTCTTTCGTTAAGAAGCACTAGATGTTTCTCTAGTTATTGTTCCAAAAATGTTTACTTAACTTCTCTTGTTTTTCTAACTACGTCAAAATTCCCTTTTCACATAGCCCAGAGTAAATGGGCCGTAAGTGGTGGACCAACCAAGACGACTAAGTAATAATGCTCTGACAAAATCACATGCATAAAAAAAAACCACTTCTTTGTTGTACCATCAATAATGCTTTGAGAGATTTTTTGTATATCATCTATAATCATGCTCATATTTCCCTTTAACCAGTAGTCATTAACCAAATTTAGAGCTCTTGTGCAAAATTTCAGTTCATGAATCTAATTCCCGATGTACAAATTTATATCTTGTGAATATAAAATCTAATAGACCCAATACAACACTTTCTTTATCAAGAAAAATACATTGAGAATTGTAAATAATATTGTTGTTGGTTTTGCTCTTCTCGAAAAGAAAATAGTATATAGTTTTCAATATTAAAGTTTTTTTTTTTTTTTTTTGACGGCAATATTAAAGTTTTTATAATGAATGACGATTGAATGTGTATATTTTTACCAAACTATAACACATGGTCTTAAATAACTTCATTTTGTCTACAAAATTCATGAGTTACAATTTTGTATATTTTTGTGAATTCATAAAAAACATTTTCGTCTAAAGATGCACAACAACATATCAAAACAATTACTTATGTATTTCTTTATTTTTGTTATGTTTATCGTCTATTTAGTAAATTGGATCACAAAAATAAGTTAGTATATCTCTTAGTATATCATTGAACCTTTCAAAGGTAGTGAGGTGATTGGTCGAAACACTAAAGATAATCAGTGAGCACTTGCTTTTGCTTGTATCCAGTGTATGTAGTAGTTCCTCAATCACGGTACATCGAAAAGTGTTATTGGTTAGAGAATAAAATCAAACAAGGGTTATTTGGTGACTTGAAGAAGTTCATGAATTTTTGAGTTAATTGCAAGATTTTGAAGAACGCATCAGGACTATTGAACAGATGTTTAACGATTCCACGATTTCTCAAGCTAATTTTAAATCGCAAACTGATTTAGATGATAGAATCAATCCACACAGATAATATCTCGCGAAGAAAATTGTTATTTAGAGAATGACAAGTGACTTAACATTACGTTTCCAGATACCAAAATACCTAATCACGAACTGTTACATCAAATCTAAAGCAGAACCAAACCAAACAGAGAACACATAGAAGCACCAAGTAGAAGCATAACGAGCGAGAGAGAGAGAACAATCATTGATAATCCCAAATCTAATTAAAGGAATTACCATCCTCCTCCACCGCTTCCTCCGTAACCTCCTCCTTCACCACCACCGTATCCTCCTCCTCCTTCACGTCTTCCACCACCGTAGCTTCCGCCACCACCACCTCCTCTTGACGAGTAACCTCCACCACCACCGCTGTATCCACCTCCTCCCTCACGTCTACCGCCGCCACCTCCGTAGCTACCACCACCACCTCCGTATCCACCACCACCTCCACTGCGGTATCCACCGCCACCACCTCCACGGCCACCACCTCCGCCGCCGCTTCCTCGTGACTGAGCCTCGTTAACAGTGATGCTACGTCCATCGAGCTCTTGTCCGTTCATTCCCTCAATCGCATCCTTCATGGATTTCTCATCCTTGAAGGTAACGAATCCGAATCCCCTTGATCTTCCAGTCTCACGATCGTTAATGATCTGTTATCCAAAAACCAAAACAAAACCAGATCAGCTAAACAATCCAACAAAGCTGAACAAAATCATTAGATCTACTTCAAAAAAAAAAACACAAAATTCCGATCGATCTCCGGGCTCACAGAAGCAGGAAGATGAACGTACCGATTTTGGGAAAAACAAGTAACAGTAACAGTAGTAACAAAGAACGAATAGTAGTAACAGTAATCGAATCAAGTAACAGAGAAACACAAGATCGGAACAGATCCGTCGAGGATGAGATCATCGAAATCACTCGGAGTCCGATCTCGGCGTGTAACAGACCTTGGAATCAACAACGTCGCCGTATTGAGAGAAGGCAGTTTCAAGAGCTCTGTCATCAGTGGCCCAAGCTAGACCTCCAACGAAGCACCGGTACTCAACATCTGCGGACGCCATTGAAATTTGAGAAGAAGATCTAGGGTTTACAGTGAGGGAAGTGAGCGGAGAGATTTGTGAAGAATGAAGAAGACGAAGTCTCGTTTTTATAAGGGGGCTGAGATATTAACCAAGGTTTAGATATTTTCTAGGTTTAGAGTCGGTTTGGTGAATTTTGGTTTAACTATGGTTAAATGTGTGGTTAAAATTCGTAGTGGTTGGGGACATATCACGTGACACTTTTTGGTTTAATGCGCAAATGGAAAGACGACGATGCGAGAAAAGATATTTTTATTTGTCCAAGAAAAAATATCTCAGTGGAGCAAAAAATATCTCGTATGCCAAATGACATCTTTATCCCTTAACTCTAAATTTGAAATAACGTAGTAATTGGCACTGGGCCGGAACAATTGGGCTACTCTAATTCGGCTAGTAGTATAATTGGGCCGCTATAATTGGGCAGAAAAATTAAATGCAAAAGATTAATTTGGAAAAAAGATAGTGTTGACAGTGGGATTTGAACCCACGCCCTTTCGGACCAGAACCTTAATCTGGCGCCTTAGACCAACTCGGCCATATCAACTTTGATGCTATGTAGTCGCGTGTATAAACTTACATATAAAATACATGTAGTTCATTCGTTTTAACTCTAACGATAGGCAAATCTTTTTCTACCCATTTAAAAAAAGTGAATTAAGGAGAATAAAAAACACATTATAAAAAATGATTCTTTCGAATACAAATTTTCTTTTTTGGATAATTTTTTTTTATATATCAACAGTTTTATCGAAGTTAACCAGTAAATGAGAATTTATTTACTCGGTGAAATGAAATTATGGTTCCTTATAAATAGTTAAATACACACACTACGGCTTCTTTAAAAAAATCTAATTCCGTTAATTCTCTGTTCTGACTTCATACAATGGTTGTAATCTCTGAAATTTCCGACGACGGCTCTAATGGCGGCGATCATCAAAACAAGAAACTTAAAGAAGAAGAGAATCGAAACAAGAAACTGAAAGAAAAGGTTGTGAAGGTGTCGCTACCAATTCCAGAAGAACTCATCCTACGTTGCTTCCTACTCGTTCGGAGATGTCACCATCCGTCGCTCTCCCTCGTCTGCAATTCCTTCCTTCGTCTCATGCCAAAGCTCTACGACGATCGCTTGCGTCTCGGCTACACCGAAAGCGTTCTTTATGCCTATATCGTACTTCTTCCTTCTGATGAAAACCCTTGCTGGTACATTCTCCATCGTAAACCCTATCGAAACTTGCCGAACACGACTTCTTTAAGATTGTGCATTCTCCATCGTAAACCCTATAGAGGAGAAGATTTACCTTAAGGGTGATCACCATTGTTATGTTTACGAACCCAAAGAAAGTAAATGGATGCGTTTGAAATTCCTTGACTTGAATCTTCTGTTCAATGAATCGTCTTGTGTGATAGGTGATAAGTTGTTTCTCATTCATGGAGGAAGGGATTTTTTTTGGGATCCAATAGTTGTGTGTGATCTAAAGAAGAAGGAAGTGAGACCCTTGAAGGGTTTACAAGGTTTTCCGGATAATATAAATATGGCGGCGTCTAAAATGGCGAATTTTGGTGGAAGGTTGGTGATTTTGGGATGTAATCAGCGTCAGACTTTAACTAGGTATGAAGAAAAAAAAGAGGTTTGGTGCGTAGAGATTGAATTGGAAGAAAGGGAAGAAGGAGGTGAGATTTGGGGGAAGGTTGAATCAGTCGCGGTTGTGCTTACGTCTCCAAAGTATCCATCTCTTGAGTTTTTACGAACTGTTACGGTTTGATTCCTCTCTGCTAGTGTCAGAGATATTGAAAGTGTAAGACTCAAAACAGAACACAAGAAACAGAGGATATATGAAGAATAAGAAGAACACATGTATCTTTAGTTACTAGTTAGCTAGGCTTTTTGTGAAGTTCTTTCCGTTTGCTTTTCGATTTATCTTCTTCTGCAAGTTATTGCAATTAGGCATAACAAAGCCCAAATGTGCTTCTTTGTTGTGAGCAAATGTGAAATCTTGGTGTAAATGTTAGTGTTACTTAACAAATCTTTACTTTCTACAATATCAAATTTGATGAAATATAAATTGATTTGAGACCAAAGAAACTTGTCCGTTGAGAGACGTTTTCATAGATTCTTCTATTTGTGGATTTTTATAAGGTAGCTTAAGAGAAAACAAAAATTTACTGTTTACAAAAAAAAACTCACTGATATACATAGTTTCCGAAGAAAACAAAACAGATGCAAATTTTGAAGTGAATTTATGTTACCAAATACCAATTAATTTATTGTTCACTTTTTATAAAAAAGTAAAAATAAAAGTATAGTGAAGAAAAACACATTAAAGAAAATAAATAATGATAATGTATGAGAACGATATTTGAAGAAGAATAAAAAATGATTCTTTCTAATGCAAATTATCTTTTTTGGATTCTTTTTTTAAAATAAAAATGATGAACATTTTCTAAATTATAAATATACACAACGATTTCTTTTCAGTTTTCAGTTTCACACACCAATTTCTTTATAAAAAATCTTGAGTTTGGCTTTCCGTTAATTCGCTATCAACTTCAAACGTCGATGGTTTTAATCTCTGAAACTTCCGACGACGGCTCTAATGGCGACGATCATCGAAACAAGAAAGCTAAAGAAGAAGATAATCGAAACAAGAAACTGAAAGATAAGGTTGTTAAGGTGTCGTCACTACCGATTCCAAACGAACTCATCTTACGTTGCTTCCTACTCGTTCGGAGATGTCACCACCCGTCGCTTTCCCTCGTCTGTAGTTCCTTCCATCGTCTCATGTCGAAGCTCTACGACGATCGCTTGCGTCTCGGCTACACAGAAAATGTTCTTTACGCCTACGTTGGATTCCCTCCTGTTGAAAACCCTAGTTGGTACATTCTCCATCGTAAACCCTATCGTAACTTGCCTAACACGATATCTTTAAAATTGTGCAAACTCGATTCCCTCCCTCCCATGCCTTGGGGATCTACTGTCGTCACTATCGGATCGAATATCTATGCCATCGGTGGACGCGTCGGCAAGAAATCCTTAAGCGATGGAGGCGACGGAGAGACATCCATAAGCGGTGGACACGCAGGGGAGCGACGCATGTCGGATGTGACTCTCATCAACTGCAGATTTCACGAGTATCGCTCGCTCCCGAGTATGAAGGTGGCTCGCTGCCGTGCAGCCGCAGGTGTAATTGACGGAAAGATTTATGTGATCGGAGGGTGCAAGGTACGAGCTTCTGATTGGGTTGAAGTGTTTGATGTAAAGAAACAGAGTTGGAGTTCTGTGCCTGGTCCATACCCTAAAGCGTATGGAAGAGGAGAGTTTCTGACATATGCGGTGATGAAGGAGAAGATATACTGTTTGGATCTTTTTCGCAATGTTCATATTTATGATCCCAAGGAAAGTAAATGGGAGTCTTGTGTCTCTGGAGCGTTGAGTTCTTTTTGGATTAATGATTCGTCTTGTGTGATTGATAATTTGCTGTTTTGCAAGAATACAATAGTGCGGTTCCATGGATGGCGGCCAGTAATAATATATGATCCAGAGCTGAAGATTTGGTTTTTCTTGGAAGGTTTACAAGGTTTTCCAGAAAATATCTTTCTCGATGAATGTAAAATGGCTAATTTTGGTGGGAAGTTGGTGATTTTGGGCGCTGATGTGAGCCGGCCGATTAGGGGGTATGACGGTACGAAAAGAGAGATTTGGTGCATAGAGATTGCTTGGGAAAGAAAGGAAAATGGTAGATTTTGGGGGAAGGTCGAATCAGTCGCGGTTGTGCTTACACCAACAAAGACGTCTTCTGTTGACCTTTGTAGAACTGTTACAGTTTGATATAATACATGGGATGGTTTCTTGCAGGTATGCTTCTTTAGTTCTGTTGATGATGAATTCAGATGTTTGTCTCTAGCTTCAAGGCTTAGTTAGATTTTCATGAAACTTGCAGGTGAAGAATATTTATTACATTCTACTGTTTGAGCAGCTTGTTATTGGTCTGATAACAAAGATGAAGCAGAGTGCCTAAAGAAGGCTCAAGAGTTACCTTTTTGCTCAATGTGAATTGTACCGTACAACTCTTAAGCTGTAAAAAAGGTTTAGGCCATTGTTTTTGCCTTTATGCAATGTTTTTACTAAATTTGTTGAAATGCATCTTTAGATAGCCATGTTTGAGGTTTTTTTTTTTGCAGTTTAACTTGGTCTCAAGTTATTTCTGTTTGCTTTTAGATGTTTAGTTCTTCCGAAAGTAATAACAATCAGATATTGAAAGTGTAAGACTCAAAGCAGAACACAGAAACAGAGGATCTATGAAGAGTAAGAAGTAGGCCTGGGCGTTCGGATATTCGGGTCGGGTTCGGGTCGGGTTTTTCGGGTTCGGGTTTTTCGGATTTAGAAAACTAAGACCCGTTCGGGTATTTTAAAACTTCGGGTTAGGATCGGGTTCGGGTCGGGTATTTCGGGTTCGGATTCGGATTTACCCGAAGTATTCAAATGTTAAAAAATTTGTATCCGATTCTATGCAAAGTATTGAAAAATACTCAAAAAATCAATAAAACCCAAGTATTTTTACCCGAATCTAGCCAAAAGTAGCTAAAACACCCGAAAATATCTTAACATCCGAATAATTTAGGCTCTTAGGTTATTACAAGTATAAATATTACTATTATATTATAACTATCCTATACTATTATTTGTGGAGTACAATTTATGGATTACCCTTAATTAACCTTCTCCTTTGTAAGAATTTACTTAAGAATGCCATTAGAAATAAAATTTTATAGAGTAAATTAATTCAACTCATTAAGGTTAAACAAGTCAAATACTATTTTATGCAATTTTTTTTTTTTTTTTGTCATCTGAAATTAATTAGAGCTCAAAAGAGCCATTCCTGTGGAATGTTGTTTACAAATGTGATATGAAGCGGTTCTGTACGAACTTTTCGTGCCAGATGATCCGCTTTTACATTAGCATTACGAGAAATTAAAGATAAAGAGAAGGATGAGAATTCTTCCTTGTCGCTATGAAATTCCTCCAAGTACACTGAAAACGCCGGCCATTCGGTTGGAGAAGACACCATCTTAACCAGATCAGAACAGTCTGTAAGGAACTCTACCTCTTGATTATCTGCACCTATCATACACTTCATCGCCCAGAGCAGGGCCTCGAACTCGGTATGTAATGGAGATAAACTTCGACGGAGATTTGCAGCTCCCATGGTTGGCGGCTCTCCGTTTGATGATGTACAGAACCATCCTGTACCGGAGAACTTATCACTTTCTTTCCACGATCCATCCACAAAGCAACGGTATCCTGAATAAATTGATTCAAGTGCAGTATTCCCCACTCGAGACCGATTAACCAATTCCACAGTACCATGAGTTTCATGATGAAGCTCAATTTGGGCAGACTGCCACAATTGTGCTTCTTTTTCCGCTAACCGTAATACCTCTAACGGATCTTTATCAATATTTTCAAATATTTTTTCATTCCTTGCTGTCCATATTTTCAAATATTTTATGCAATTTAATTAATTTAATTTAATTATAAAAACGAAAATCTATTATTAATTTCTTTAAAAAGAATGACCAATCAAAATGAACATATAAGATTTGATATCTAACTTACCATATTAATTTGTTATTAATCATTATACTTCACCTCTCATCTTTATATGATTCTATTTCTATAAATAAATAAATCATTATATCATCTATATAATAAAAAAAAAAGTAATTTTTTTCCGCATATACCAAAATTTGAATTTTTAAAAACGAATATAAATTATTCAATGTATGAAAGAACAAATTTAACGGGTCAAAAATTCATATTTGAGTAATATATTCTTTTTTTTTAATATCATCAATACTTAATAGATCAAAAATTTATGAAGTATAAATACTCTAATTTGATTTTTTGAAACAAATATTTATAATAGGCGGCGGGTTGAATATAATATATTATATGATGAAATGAGTTATGATCCTTATAACTATTTGAATATTTATATTTAATTTCGTATAATTTTTTTAAAATTCATAATTTTACATAATACAATAAATTTTTTTAAAGATTTTAATTTGGAACATTTTAAAATAGTTTAATTTAATATATTAAAGAATATCATAAATATTTAATAGATTAAAAAGATAAAAAAAATTATAAATACAATAATTTGTTTTTCTAAAAAGATATGTTTAAAATATTTATAGTAGGCGGCGGGTTAAATGTAATGTATTATATGGTAGAAAATTATGATCCTTATAACAGACGGCATTTTAAGATTTTATGATGAGATGAGTTAAATAAAGTTTGACACTTCTAAATATTTGAAAATTTGATTCTGCAAGCAATTTTGAAAATAATAAATAATAGATTGTACCGCAATATTTTCATACGGAATGTAAAATGAAAATATAGACTCCACACACAGATTGAATTTGGTATTATTATATACCAAATATATGTTCATAACATATTTGATTATGTGAATAATTGGTAAATTCCGTAATTAGCTCAAACAAATATTTATTTCAACAACCAATGAATCAGAATTTGAAAAAATAATTTCCTAAATTAATTAAAAATAATAGCTAATTTTCTTAGGTAATTCAAAATAATCTACGTTTTAGATACGATTCATTTATGATATTTTAATTTTTGATCTAACTAAATTATATGCACTCTCATTTTGTGGTTGTTAACATAAATTAACTCATTGTTCAAACAATATTAATTTTTTTAATAATCTTATTTTCCGTTTTCATATCTTAAAAAAAATATCCATAATTGAATACTATAGAAAAATGAAAATATATTCATTCTAATATTATACATAGGGACTGACAAAAAAATATTATTTTTTTCACTTACTATTATAATATATCACAACTTTATTCTAAAATAATAAATGAAATTCAACCCGTACTGTAGTACGGGTGATGATCTAGTGTACTTATATTTCGGGTATGTTCGGGTACTTGTTCGGGTTCGGGTTCGGGTTTTCGGGTTGTGAAGTTTAAAACCCGTTCGGATATTTTAAAACTTCGGATTCGGGTTCGGGTCGGGTTTTTTGGGTCGGGTTCGGTTCGGTTTTTCGGGTTCGGGTATTATGCCCAGGCCTAGTAAGAAGAACACATGCGTCTTTAGTTAAGCTATGTTTTAGGGTTTTTATCAAGTTCCGTTTGCTTTTGGATATATATAATCTTCTGCAAGTCATCACATTAATTCTGACTTAAAAAGTTCCATTGTGCTTCTTGAATATGAGAAAATGAAAATTTGGTCCATAGATGAGAAAATGGTCTGGAGATAGCAAAACGAAAGACCAATAAGCTTTATTAGATATATAATTCTTCAAGTCATGACAATCAGATATTGAAAATGTAAGAAAGAGTAACCAAAGAAAATGTAATCAAGCAATCGATAATGTCGCCAAATCCGGAGAATGCCAACTCAAGATCCCTTTGGTAACATTGCGGATAGCGATTACATAAAAATTTTATTATTATCATATCAAAACCTCTTATAATCCGGCCATCTTCCGCTTTTCATTTATCAACCTCACAAGCTCTAGTGCAACTTCAGCAGACCTGTTTCTGCGCCGTGGCCTAGCCACTTCCACAGAGATGGATCCAACATTAACACATTTGCTGCGAGACTCTTCAACGTTGATTTGAGAACCGTCGATCTCATCCCCAAGAGCATCTCTCAATATTGAATCGATGATTTCGCCATCAGAAAGTTCATTGTGAAGACCCTTTGGATCAGTATCACATTCCAGACCGTGAACAAAGCACTGGAACCCAATCTTTTTCTTACTATAATCATTCATTTCCTTAATGGCATCTCTCATGGATTTCTCATCCTCGAAAGTAACAAATCCAAATCTTCTTGATTTTCCAGTCACATGATCGTAAATGATCTGTTAAAACATATATGAAAAAAACAGATCAGTGATGAGAACTATAAGAACTCCAACAAAAAAAGGTTCATCTCAAGGCGTTTATAACGGACTTTAGAATCGATCACGTTGCCAAACTTTGAAAACATTATCTTAAGATCATTTCCATCAGTGTCCTGATCAAGACCACGAACAAAGCAAGTAAATTCAACATTTGAAGCCATTATATTGAATAAATATATCAAAGATAAAAGAGACTAGAGTGAGTATATATGGTTGAGAGAAGTTGAATAAATTTATAGAAAAGGTGATATATTTAATGTCTTCAATTTTAGTTATCTATGCATGTCGTAATTGCTAGTCAATTTTAGTAATCTGTGTTTTCTTTTGGAACTAGTGAAACTACTAGATTACAACCACCATCTTAAGTATCAGCGTTCAATATTTTTTGTTTGACTTTCATCTACAAATTTCCAGGTGAATTTATTGAGAAATTATCGTATAGTTTTGAATTTTTGTTAATGATAAAATAAATGGAAGTAGTAAAAAAAAAAAATTGTAAAAAAGCGAAAAGATAGGTTCTACCGAGAATTGAACTCGGGTTACTGGATTCAGAGTCCAATGTCCTAACCGCTAGACCATAGAACCATTTGTTACATGTCTAACATATTAATTATTTATAGTTTAACTTCATCTTCTTCGAGCCGTTGCTCTATCTCTTTTTCATTTTACTTTCTCCGTTCTCTGTACAAAAAAAACCACCTCTCTCAAATTCTCCGACGAGCTGCTCTAATGCTTCTCCACTGCAACGTTACCTACACCTCATCGTTTTCCTTCATCTCCTCCTCTCTCCGCCGTCAAGACAACGCCGACGATTCACAAGATACAGTAATCCGTCGCCGGCACAATGCTAGATCCCTTTCTCTATACATCCGCCATAATCGAGACCTAAAGCTTAACAAAAACCCTAACGAATCTCAAGAATCCTTCGTTCCTCCTCCTCCTCCGCGAAGAGATTTAGACGGTGAAGACCGATCGAAGCTACTTGAGCTCTCTCTTGTAACTAGAAGAACTCCACAATTTCCTGGTTCAATCTACGCTCAATCTGCTTCTGATGCTGATGTTGCTTCTTCTCTTCCTTCGCTTCGTAAATTTCTCGGGTCTGATGGTGATGACGATGGAGAGAGTGAGAGAGAGATGATAGTTAAGGCGCTTGAGATTAGGAGGAAAGTGACGAAAGAGATTATTAAAGAGTCTTTGGTGAGGAAAGGTAGATTTGGGATTACGTATGCGACTAATGTGACTGATCGTTTGGGTGATTTCGTTGATCATGTTATGATTCAAGCTGCGGCGTTGAAGCGGTTGCCGGAATTTTCAGAGTCGAGGTTCAATCTTCGCGCCAGGACTGTTATAGATGACTCCAATTTCGTGCCTCTTGTAAGGTCAAGCTCTTTGCTTTGTGCTTTTTGGTGGTGTTTATTAGTGCCCATAAGGTGTTCGATGGTTTGTCTCTGAGAAACAATAGAATTTTTTTTAATTATGATTCTGAATTGTGCAGGTGGTTGAAGCACCATGAGTTTTCATATAATAGAATTGCGAAAATCATATGCATGTCAAAGGGAAATCTTGACTCCATAAGGATCATGATCGAGTGGTTGAAGACCATTCATGTGAAGGGTGAATTCATTGGAGTTGCGTTCTTGAGATCTGGGGACAACATTTTGCAACGTAGCCGTGAGGAACTTGACGAGATTGTTGAGTATCTTGAGAGCAATGGTGTGAGGAGGGATTGGATGGGATATGTTGTTGGCCGATGTCCGGAGTTGTTGTCTTTCAGTATGGAAGAAGTGAAAAGCCGTGTTGATTTCTTCTTGAAAATGGGTATGAATCAGAATGACTTTGGCACGATGGTCTATGATTATCCAAAGATAATTGGGTACTTCTCATTCGAAGAGATGGAGAAAAAGGTACTGAAAGCTATATGTATTTTTTGATCCTCCAAAGTTATGGATTGTCGTTTGAGTTCATAAATGAGTTGCTTGTCTTAAATCAGATCAATTACCTTAAAGAGTTTGGCCTTAGCACAGAAGAAGTTGGGAGACTATTAGCCTTCAAGCCACACCTCATGGGATGCAGTATTGAAGAAAGATGGAAGCCTCTTGTCAAATATTTCTACTACCTTGGAATCCCCAAAGAAGGAATGAAAAGAATCCTTGTCGTGAAACCAATTCTTTACTGCATTGATTTGGAGAAGACAATCGCCCCAAAGGTAGTTGAACTTCGTTATAACTTATGAACTCCCTATACGTACATGCAGCAGATTCCATTAACTCAGCTTCTCTTGTGTTTTTAAAGGTAAGATTTTTGCAGGAGATGGGTATCCCTAATGAGGCCATTGGAAACATGTTAGTAAAGTTTCCTTCTTTACTTACAAACAGCCTCTACAAGAAAATCAGACCTGTGGTTAGTATTACTTCCACTATGAACCAAAGATGTTCGATATGTTAGTGTTACTCATAGCATATGATGATCCTGGAAACTGCGTCTGATACTGTATAAGTTGTGGTTGTACAGGTCATTTTTCTCTTAAGCAGAGCCGGAGTAACCCAAAAGGATATCGGTAAAGTTATAGCAATGGATCCAGCTCTCCTTGGATGCAGCATCGGGACAAAGCTAGAACCCAACATGAGATATTATATATCATTGGGAATTCGATTTCATCAACTAGGCAAAATGATTGCTGATTTCCCGATGCTGCTTCGGTATAACGTTGATAATCTGCGTCCAAAATACCGTTACTTGCGAAGAACAATGATTCGTCCGCTTCAAGTTCTCATTGAGTTTCCCAGGTACCAGACAATGATGATAAAATAATACCTTCGAAGTGTAGATTTTGAGTAACCATGAAGTAGTTACATGATACTTGTAACAGATTCTTTAGCTACTCACTGGAGCGTCGGATAATCCCAAGGCACACCATTATGGTTGAGAACAGAGTTAACTTCAAGCTCAGATACATGTTGGCTTGTACGGATGAAGAGTTTGAGAGGAGAGTGAGAGATAAAGTGGAGAGACGAGAGAGATTCGAAGCTGGTCTTGACTCCGAGGATTTGGATGAGAACATCTTCGATAAGGAGATTGATTTCTCAGACTCTCCGGAAGAAGAATGAAGAGGATTTAGCATAATGAATAGTTCTGGACATAGTCTTGTACAGTTAACACAATTATAAACGAACGAATGTGTCAATTTGTCTTGGATCTTGATTATAAATATTAGAATGAGAATATAGTTCTTTTATGTCCTAAGAGTATTCGAGAAAGCACTTTCACAGATTGTGTATCGCAGTATAGGCACTTAGCATGTAATGCAGAGTAAACTGTCATCAAGGAAACTGTCACGAGCACAACCCATATCCATCTCACTCGATTCCAATGCGACAGATCGGATTCCGTTTAATGAGACCAAGATCCACCTGCGTAACAAATGACAGTAACACAATAAGACCATTACTTTCCAAAGAAGCTGTAGTATAAACAAGTGTAAGATCTTGTACCTTGTGTCCAAACAGATCACGGATGTTGTCAATCTCGTATAAAATCATTGTTGGTCTGTTTATGAAACAAAACCAGAAGAATCAGCACTTTTGTTCGTAATCAAAATGTGTACCTGATGTCTAATTTTATCTTTTACTGTACCTTTCAAGAGAGAGACCCCATGCAATGACTCGAACATCCTCTGGGAGACCCATCGGTAGCAACATTTCTGGTCTGAACATGCCAGAGTTTCCAATTTCTACCCATTTCCCTAATCCTTCGTGGTAGCTGGAAATGACAGCAGATACAATATCTTCAGAGTCTGTTTATTTATTTTCGAATTTCAGAGATGATGATTTGTTCCAATTTACCTGAAAATCTCCATGCTTGGTTCGGTGTAAGGGTTGTAGGCAGGCTTGAAGCGCAGGTTGGATATCCCTGTAAAAGCATATACGCATAAGCCTTCGCTTTCTCTTAAGCGACTTTGAAGCATCATAATAAGCGCAAACGGGGGAGTAATAAAGCATTTACCTAAGCGTGAGAAGAAGTCCTGTAATACACCGATGAGATCACCCAATGTAAGGCCATGGTCACAGACCAACCCTGAGCAAAAGAGAAGGTGTATTTTCCTCATTCCAACTTTGAATTTCCTCATATGTGACAACTAATTAGCTAGTGCAATTACCTTCAATCTGATGGAACTCTGCCAGATGGGTTCGGTCAACAGCCTCGTTTCTGAAGACACGATCTATAGAAAAGTACTTCTTGGGAGTGAAAGGTTTCTACAGCAAAAGATAAGATAAATTATACTATAGAAACAATGTTGCACAGCTTTTGAGACTTGGAAGGACAAAGTCAATATCTAGCAGACCTTTGCAAGTGCATAAAGCATCCTAGATGAGACCGCTGTTGTGTGGGTACGAAGGAGATTTTTGTTTGCTTCCTCTCTTTTCCAATCATAATTATACCTGTACAATGAAAAAGACCACGATGAACGATTAGAAATTAGTTGACTACTATCAGAGGTAGTATGCATCAAAAACAAGTTGGTACCCTCTCGATCCATATCCACCAGACTCATGAACTTGTTTCACCCTCTCAACATAATCTTCTGGCAATTCCCTTGTAGTTGAAGGAGCTACAATCAAACATTCACATATTAAACTTAAGAGTTAGATTGTCATTAAGATGTCATTAAGCATCTGGGAAGAACGGTCCCAAAGATAAACTCAGTAATTGAGCATTCAAACATTGAACCTTTTAGAAAGAAGGTGTCGTGAGAGTCACGAGCAGGATGCTGCTGAGGCTGGAACAGTGCATCAAAATTCCAGAAGCTACAAAGCATAGGAAAAAAGGTTAAGATCAACCAATGTGAAAAAAGCTGAAGGCCTCTAAACATGATTCCTGAATAAGGATGGATTGTGAAAAAGGTCGATAGAATTGCAAGAGGTGCTTCGCTATATAGTATCAAAAGAGATTTACACATCCAATTGATAAAATACCTGCTCTCCACAAAGTTGTTAGTCGGCATCTCTTCAAATCTGTGACCACATAAGGCTGAAAATCACTTTTTCCCGTAGCAGAAAAATGAAGAAATACTAGAAACATGGTAAAAGTCTCACCCCATCTGACGAAATATGTCTTTGAACTGCTTCCGTACCTGAAACACACAAGAAATTTAAAAATTAATATGCTATGGTTAGCAATGGTTATCCCCATTTTCTGCAGCAGCAAAGATAACCATCAAGTAATTTCAGCCTGAGTTATACAAACATGAAGACATGCTGAGCTTGAAGTAAAGGCATTCAAAATTTGTTTTACATTTGAGTACCTTGAGAAGGGGGTGAACATGCCCAGCATCAACAGGCTGTCCTTTAGCATTGAAGTTATACTCCTTGAATTCTAGCTCTTTCCAGCTGCAGGTGGGTACCAATTTCCTCTTTTATTTGCACTATACCAACAATATCATTAATAAGTTGCAAAAGAAAGGAGTAGTACACACTTTTGTAGATTTTCTCGTGACAAGTCAGTGGCAAAACTCATTCTTTTGGGAGCATAATTAGGACCTTTCTTCACGGAATAGCCCTTCCATACCCTAAGAAGAAAGGAGATAAGCTTTAAATAATGTCCCCTAAAAGAAATAATTTACAAATGAAAAGTGCAGCTATTTACTTTTCTTCTACAAGTCTTCTGGTTGTTTTGAGATAATTGAGACTTTCTTCGTCAGGTTCCTGAAGGGGAAAAAGATCAACTTAGTCGCATGAATCACAAAACTGCATAAGAATTCTACAAAAATCTTTTGACATAAGTTGATACAAACCATTCCTTCCTGTATTTGTAAAAGCAAGTTCTTCACTTTATCTTCAACATGTTGAACCTACAACAAAATGGTTCAGAGCTAATGATGTAGACTAGATAAATGCAGAAAAAAACTGCAAGAACAAGTAGGCAATTCACTGCATAACCAAACATGTACAGAGATACCTTCCTAGAGACTTGCTTTCCCCCTTCCACCCACTTGTTTGTTACAGCGTATATAGAGCCAATCCTGAATACAGAAGTCTTAGACTTCCAATCAGAAGGAGAAAGCTTTTTCTGAAACAGCAAGATTTTACACATCAAATCCATGATTTTACAAGTCATCATGATAAAAGATAATGTTGTTTCCATAATAATCACCTGGAGTTCATCCTTTGATATGCTACCTTCCGCAGGAACAGCCAAGAAATACTGTACCTCTGGCGATCCTTCCGCAGCATATTTCTTCCCTTCATCAGTCAGAACCGATGATACCCGTTTAATGTTCTGCAGAAACAATGAAACAGCCACATTGTTTATGTATTAATCCCTGAAAACCTTAAATATGTGAAAAGACCAGAGATTCAATAAGGTGATTGTTCATAGCCATTCATGATCACTTAAGCTAAATCTCTAAACCCCTTAAATCTAAACCTCACAATTTGCTAATTCCATATGAAACAACATATAGATCACTGATTCTATTTCTCCACAAACCAAATTCAACTTGAATAGAAGGGAGAAGTGGTGGTACCTGACAATCAATGTAACGAAAAGCATGTAACCTCTTGATGACATTGACGACTTCGTCGTGGTTAAGGTTATGTTCATCGGAGAATTGACCGGAATCCGTGATCTCTTCGTTGTCCAGCAGATACCCTAGAATCGCCTCCTCCGCCATTTGTTCTCTTCCGGTAAGTTGGTAACACTCGTATGAAGTCCGCCGCGAGTTTCTTTCAAAGAGCGGTGAGTTTCAGTTTTTGCCCTATTTCAAATAGAGAGGGTCGGTTTAGGGTTAACCAGAAGTGAGTGTATAATTAATAAATTAAGGAATCTTGAGCCTTTTTAATATATATCGATAAATTCAGGTCCTTAAGTTGCAAATATGTTTTCTTCACCTCTTGACTCTTAACGACATCGTTTTTATTATGATTCTCAGTTTTCGGCTATTTGCATGGGAGTGCCACGTGGCATGTGGAGAAGTTGCCAGTGAACGAGTTATTCTCTCTACCTCAACGTCACTAAAACCGAATGCGAAAAGAAAAGAAACAAATAGCAAAAGCAGAGAAGAAAAAAACAGAGGATTCTTATAGATCACGAGAGGAAGAAGAAGACGATGAGGAAGATGAAGCACTTGTCCTCCATTGCCAACGACGTCGTTCAGAGATGCTCACAGTATTTCTTCTCTCCCTGTCTATATACATATTTGCAGATCTATGTTTTCATTAATAGAAAGTGTAATTAAGATCATTGTTAACACTAACATTATAGTTTAGATCATAACCAAAACCATGGAAGTTTTATTGGATTTCTTTTCCTTGGTGGTTACTGGTTAAGCCAAAAGAATAGCTAAACCGGTTAAAACTGATTCCACCCGGTTTAGCACCATATTAATTTGTGATAATTGGTGTTGTAGGGAAATAGAGACAACCATTGATGAATTAGTGGAAGAGTTTGAATGTCAATGGAAGCCAGGAAGTACGGAAGGTACTTACTCGAAGAAGTTTGTGGAATTTTGCAACTCAAAGGTGACGAGTCGGGTTTGTGAAAACATACTTGAGAGAATAAAAGATGGTTCGTTTACTCGTCTCACGTTCGATATGATGCTTGCTTGGCAACAACCTGACGCAGATGACAAGGAGTCTTATAGGGTATATACCTAATTCAAACTTGATATGAATCACTTAATTTCTTGGTTCTCAAGTCATTTATGCATGTTTTTACTTGTGTTCAAAGGAAGCAGTAGGGAAAGAGAGTGAAGACAAGAGGATTCAGGCAACTCTATCTCCAGAGCAAGATGACATCTCTCTTTTTTATTCAGACATGATGCCGCTTCTCGTAAGCAATGTTTGTTGTTAGAACTGTGACATCGATTAACTTTTATATAAATAGTTTATAGTAGTACCTCAACTTTTATATATCATGTGAAAGGTTGATCATGAACCAAGTGTGGGCGAAGATGCATTTGTCTATTTAGGCTCAATCATTCCTCTACCCGTGGATGTCGTCAATGGAAGATACACATTTGAGACTCTAACTGCTCTGACCGGCTACCAACTTCACTTTCCGGCTTACGATATGTTCGTCAAAGAAATACACAAGTAATTCTTCTTATACATAGCATAGGTTGTTTCTAGACTCAATATAAATTATGTCTTCTTTTCTTTCTAATTGATTTATTTTTGTAAAATTTACGTGTATCAATCAAGGTGTATGAAGCATTTGCAAAAGCAAGCGAAGCCTAAAGGGGTCGAATTGGCGGATGATGAAATTATATTGCATGTTGAAGGAACAATGGCTTCACAGAGAGTGATTCGCCACATTAAAGAAACAAGCTGGCCAGGTTTAGTTTTATAAATAGTTCCTTATGCTATACATATCAAGTTTGATTCAAACTCATGGCTACTAATTTCTCATCAAAATGTCTTGAATTTTGTAGGTAGGCTTACTTTGACAAACTATGCACTATACTTTGAAGCCGCGGGAATTATAAACTACGAAGATGCTGTTAAGATAGATCTTTCCAAGGACAATGAAAAGTCTACAAAGCCTATGTCCACTGGCCCATTGGGTGCTCCTCTTTTTGACAAGGCCATTGTCTACGAGTCTCCGGAATTGTAAGAATTTATGCATAGAATTTGAATTCAATTTTGCTTTGTAGAACACACAATTTATGTTAACATGTTACCTCATTTGTGTATGACTTATGACATATAAAATTTCTTTTGATGCATTTTTAGTGAGGATGGAATTGTCATAGAGTTTCCAGAGATGACAAGCTCAACGAGACGAGATCACTGGCTTATGCTTATAAAGGAAATAACATTAATGCACAAGTTCTTGAGAAAATTCAATGTTGAGTCTCCTTTGCAAGCATGGGAAATCCATTCAAGAACAATCTTGGGAATAGTACGGCTGCACGCAGCCCGCGAAATGCTTAGAATTTCTCCCCCGGATCCAAAAAAGTTTTTAATATTTAGCTTATTTGAGGAAGTTCCAAAGGGAGACTACGTACTTGAAGAACTCGCAGAGATTAGTCTAAAGATAGGCACTACAAGGAACCCGTGTAGTGCTAGCTCCATATTGAGGAATATGAACATGGATCAGCTTGGTGATATGATAAAAGAAGAGGGAGAAGATACATGTAAGGAGAAGGGGAAAGTGACTGATAAAGAGGAAATGCTTGCGTCTCTTGAAAGTGCTGTGAATCAATCGAGAGAAGAGGGAAAGGTTATTGAGGAGGCTAAAGCCACGACAACGGAGCTAGAAGAAGAAGGGATTAGTGAAAGTGTAGCAGTTCTTATGGTAAGAAGATATTTCTTATGATGTGTTGTTTAATTTATGTTGTATCAAACTGAAAATGATGAGGTATCTTGTAGGAGTTGATGAGGCCATTACAAGATGCATTGCCATGGTTCCAACAAGTGATTTATTGGGAAAGGCCGTCTCGTACACTGTTTGTTCTAGCCATTACTATTTTAACCGTCTACAAGTGAGTTTAAAGTAACATATAACACAGATGAGTTAGTTCATAAATACATATATTAATCAAGAAATTAAACTTATGTTACAGGGAGTGGGTTGGTAAGGCTATAGCTGCTTGCTTAATATGGGTGGTGGCTAAAATGGCTCAGGCTAGACATAAGATGGTCCACACAGAAAGTGAGCATGCGGTAACAGTGAGCACAGAATCTGACCAAACAATGACCGAGAGCATTGTGTCGGCTCAACATGGCTTAATAAGACTTCACCAGTTGATGCAACATGTTAACGTCACCATCATGAAATTGCGGTCCATATATACCTCCAAGGCTAGCAAGGTAACTAATGTTTATATCACGCCGCGCGATATTTATTGTTTTTGTTATTTCAAAAATGTGTTCTCTTTTAAAGTGTAGTATCTCTTACTCTTGGTTGTAGCATGCAAGCATGGTGATGGCATCGATGCTAGTGTTGGCGAGCTTCTTCGCAGTGGTGCCATTCAAGTTGTTCATAATATTTGGTACAATATATTGCTTTGTAATGACATCGAGTGTCGGAAGATACATGAGCAATGATCAGAGTAACCGGAGAATGAAAGAGTGGTGGGATTCCATACCCATTGTACCCGTTCGTGTACTTAACGCTTCGTCCAAGTAGTTCTTCACTTAGCGTGAGATACTAAGGCGACTGTTTTTTCTCTTCCTTTTTTATCAAAAGCTACTAGAGAAAGAATGTATTTTAAACAGTTTTTTTTTGTAAAATATTTTCAAGCTTACGTTACTAGTATTTTATAATAAATAAAAAATAGCATTAATATATTCGTCAATAATTTATATATTTTCATCTGCTTCGAAACAAATAAAGTAGTACTCTATCTTCTTAATTAATCTATTTTCTAGGAATATAAATTTATTAGATTTCTTAAACAATATTTATTAATTATTATTGGAATTGTAAATTTCAAAACAAAATAGTTGAATACTATTGGTTTAGAATTATAAGAAACTGTAAATCACAAAAATAATGCATTTATAGTCAACTTTTAATATGTTTTTATAATACTATATATCAAATTTTTTAAAAATATATCATTTAGAAACATAGTGAATAGTATTTTATTTTAAATCGTTGAATCGGTCGAAACTAATACTAAAAACTCGGTAAAACAACAAATACTAATATGTCTTTTTTTTTATAAACACTAGGTGAGTGCCCGCGCTACGCGCGGGATTTTGTTTTAAATTTTGTTTTAATTTCTTTAAAAATTTATTTAAATTTAGATGTATATATTATTAAATTCCTGTATTTTTATAAAAATTATGTATTTGTATTTTTTTTATTTATTATTTTTTTAAAATTTATTTTTGTATATCGTTGCATGTTTGAGACTAATATATACATTTTTTTAAAATTTCTCATTTAGCTTTTAAGATATATTTTAATATTATTTTTTTTCTTATTTTAGTATAATAACTATACAATTTGTAATTTTATATGGAGTTTATCAACTCTAATTGAAATGTGTTGTTTTTTTAGTTATAACAATTTATTTAATGTAAAAAGAAAAGCAAATATCCTCAAAACTTTAAACTTGAATGTAAAACAAAATGATTGGCTCGAGAAGACCATGTCCACAGTTGTATTGAAGTATTTTATAAGAGAATTGCTTTCTAAACTCCATTTTCTCTTTGTCTCCATTTTTTGTCCCTCCACTTTAACTGATTGTAGAAGTTGTTGTCGGCTTCTTGTTGGGATTTGTTTCTTCAAATGTGCTCCAGCCCTATAATGAATATTTTGTGTTATATATGTTTATGTAAATTTTTTTTTGTAATCTTATATTTACCTCGTCAAAGTCTTTATAACTTATGTTTGACACCATGAAATTCTGATTCTTGGGGGTATAGTTGAGAGGGGATACTCTTATTTGGAAACGGAAGTGTTTCCCAGCAAGATCACTTAAACATGTTGGTAAGATATTGTTGTTACCTTTGTTGCCCTACAAAAAAATTTTATATTTAGGTTTACTTGTTATTAAAAATGAGTAAAATTTGTAATATTAAATGATAATTTCTTTCATAAGATTTTATTTACCTTCTCTTCCATAATTGTGGTTGCTGTTTTGTTTGTAAGTTTTCTCATTTCTTTGTCTAAAATCACAAATGTCGCACCATGTTCTCCATCATGAACATCAAGCTCCACTCGATACCTATGAAATAGTTGTATATAATAGTATTTAAATATTAAAAATTCCAAATTGTTATATCTTTAATTCGTTGCGTTTGCAATTTGTTTGCAATTTATTAAAAATAGGTATAAGAAAATTATAGCGTACCTAAGAATTCCTTCCTCATTAGGCGTAACACAACTTTTGCATCGTAGTAGTGTTGTCCTTTTCTCTAAATTCCGTCCACAATCTATGCAAGATCTGTATGTCCATCCGTTTCTTTGTAGCACCCCAACAACATATGCGTTGCAAAAAAATTCAGCATCCTGAGTCTTTTAAAAGTGTTGTAGATTTATCAAGTTTAGTTAGTTGTACATGTATTTATATGTGATTATAAATTAAAATATTCTATTCTGTTAAATACCTGTTCGTTAGCTTTGGATATATAGTCGTAAAGTTCAGCGATGGATACTTCTTCTTTTTTCATGTCTCCCACCATGGTTTCTGCATGTCCATATGTTTCTCCTTCTTCTATTCCCATCCTATATGGATAATTAAACAATTGTTAAAATTTGTGTAGATAAGTAAATGTGTTTCTTTTTAGCTAATTTATTTAAACCTTACTCTTTTGTAAATTTTTGGATGACATCAAATGTTGAGGCAAAATATATCCTTGTAGCTTCCGTAGAATTCAAGTATAGGTTACCTTGTTCATGTAAATGTATTTTTATTAATATAAAAGTTAGTATGATGTAAAATATTTGGTTAAGTATATAATTAATTTATTATTAAAGGAATTACCTCCAAAGTGTTTTGGATTAATCGTTGTTACCACCATGACATTTTTGTTGGATTTTTTTTTGGAAATTTCTGAGCGGAAAGTTGATGCAGCCTCACCCCAAAGTTGTAAGTAGACAATAACGGACCTAATTGTCAAGATTTAATTATATAATTTGATATATTTTTAAATTAATATGTTTTTGAAGTGATTATAATTTAGCATCACTTACGTATCCATCTTAAATCGCATGACCAAGCGTTCTTTTGAAGTTCCATCATGAAGGTTTGATCCTTGCACAAACATTACTTGTCCAACAACATCTGTAAATTGAATGTCATTGTTATTTTCTTTAACAATAAAAAATATATATATATATATATATATATATATATATATATATTACTTTGGTATAGAATATTTATAATGTGAATGTTTACCAGGTAGTGCAAGGTTTGTGTTTGCTAGAGCTTGGAGTTGGTTGCTGTTCTGGAGCATGAACTTTTCCTGATTTATTGTTACGCCGATATTTCCTATCTTAGTCATGTTTGTTGATGGAAGAAAACGGATGGCTAATGGATTGTCTGTAACTTTGTATAGATTTGTGCTTCTTCCCACTTCAAACCCACTAAGATTGAAGATTTCACTTTCTTGTAAAACATAACGGTTATGCTCGACAAGTGAAGCAGGTATGAAACCATGTATAACTGTGTTCTGCAAATAAAATGATATTATGGTTTAGTTGTTGGTCTCTACATTGAAGGCCAATATGTTTTTAAAATATTTAAAAATTGGTAATACCTTTTCATCAAGGAAAAGAAGGACAATCCCCATTAATTCGCCATCCTCTTTATTATTGGTAGCTTCCCAAAACCGAAGGAGCCTTCCAACAATTTGTTGATTAGATCGTCCAAGTCGTAAAGCATCAAACGTGACATAAGAAGCATCTTGTGGGATAGCAACAATGTCAAATGTAGCCATTGTGTAATGATTATAAAATTTAGTTGTAGGTGGTGTTTGTTTTTTTTTCCTAAAATGGTTTGTCTTTAGTTGTTTGGTATTTATAGCTGTGAAAGGAGTAATTGCATATATGTAGTGGGTGATTGCTGGATTATTAGTAATTTATGATGTTAATTATTCTGTCCGTTTAAACGTTTTTGATTTTTAATGTAATTGAATTCTTTATATTATTTAAATAATTTAATGCTGTGTGTTTTAATGTTTCTCATCATTGTTTGATTTGGGTTGAATATGATGCGTTTTGTTTTCCTATTACTAATTGTACTTTATTTTAAATTAATGCAGATTTTAGTGGAAGAAGCTGCATGACATTAATGTCAATTTATTTGTTATCTTGTACTTTATACGTAACCGTCGCTTGTTATTGTTTCGTTTGGATAAATAGTAGTAGCTGATCCGTCGGGATATGTATGACGAATCAGATTATATTGTTGTTGTGAATAACAGCCCCTATTGATGTTTTATTTTCTGTTGTTTTTTCAAGTTGGGCCTACTCGAATGAAGCCCATTATATCATGGTCCTACGGTTTTTTGGTTCCATTAGGTTGTGGCTTTTTTTATTTTATTTGTTTCTAGTTATTTAAGATCCATAAGGGAATTGTAAAAGTTTTTGTTTGTTTTTCATACCAATGGAAAAAAAGAAGTTTTTGTTTGGTTTGGTTCGGATATTTGTTGGTTTGGATTCTTAAAAAGATGGCTGATTAATATATATGATCCAAATCCCTTTGTAATGCCGTAATCCCTTTAAATATAATTTTAAATTTTCTATTTTATTTATATGTCTGTATTTATATTTATTTTAATATATATATATATATATATATTTATATTTCTAATTTTTTAAAGGCTGTAAGTTAAAACTTTTTTGTTGAATTTGGAGATTAGTTTGCGGTGGTACATATAAATTGCTGTGGATTTTTTAAAAATAATTATACATTATTTATTTTTTTTTATTTTTCATGCATTCAGAAACTTAGCTTTGGGCGCATTGTTTTTTTGTCGTAGTAAAATAACTAATCCTTTGTAACATTATTCCTTACCATTCCATATTAGGCTATATGTTATTTCATTTTTCCATGGTTTTAATCCTGTTGCGTAATATGGTTTTATTTTCCAGATAATTAATGGTGGTAATCTTTTAGTAGTTGTTCTAATTTATGTATAGATATAGGTTATCCGCAAAACACTGTACGAATGTCCTTATTTGAAATATAAAATGGTGCTGGAGAAGGAGTTGTTTAATGCGTTTTTGTTTTCCTATTGTAGTATTGTTCCTTTTTAGCTACTTACCATGTTGAATTTTGTTAAAGGAATCATGTGTCTGTCTTTGTCGTGTAATATAATATTTTCCTGATTGTGTCCAATTATAATTTTGGGTTTAGGTTACAGACATGTGAATATATATATTTCATCCCGGTTAATTAATTTTTTTTTTTTTTTATATAAATTGGTTCTCTCAGTTTCAGTTTCTATTTTTCTATGTTGTTGGGGCATTGAGGTGATACAGTTATTGTTGACGGTGGGAAAAAACAATAGCGTATCCGTGGGATATAGTTCTCTTCCATCAGTCATATTGGTCGTTTGTTATTATGTTCCAATTGCCTTTAGAATTCGGTATCTGTTATCTGTTTTTAGTGTTGTTTAATTGGGCTTGTTGCCCGCGTGCGTAAACTGGTTATAATAACAATAATGGCCCATGACCCGTTTATATTCACTCTAAATTAATTGGGTTTACCAGTTTAGGCTAGTGGGCTGTGTGGGTTTCGATCACAATTAAATTAAATGGGTAGCCCATTTCTCCGTTTTTTCAACATATTGCTAAACGGCCTTTGTAAATTTGGTGAGTCTAA